GCCCTGGCCCCAAAGTCCACCTTCAGCATTCCCTGGGGACCCTGACGCTCCATTCCCTTGCTCTTCCGCTACATTCCCCCAGTGCTTTGCCTGGATGTGGCAGGATCAGATTGGCACAATTCCCACACTGTGTCTCCGGTGCTGTCCCCCACAGGGCCATGGGTCAGTGAGGGGCATCATGAGACATGACATGTCTCATAGTGGGGCTGGCCATGTGGTCTTCTGTGTGGACTGGCTGCTCTACTTGGGGTCATCGTCCTCAAGGCCTGGTGGGCCATGATTTGCTCCACTCTCTCCTCCTCCCCCGTCATCTGCTCCCGTGTGCTCCCATCAGATATGTCCCTCTCCCTGAGCTGCAGATTCAGTGCCATCCTTTGAAATAAATTCTTATGGTGGGAGGGACAGGCATCCACTTCGTATTTGGGACTAGGGCCAGCCCCCCGGACCTCTCCACTGGTTCCCTACTCCATGCTGGAATGTTGCATTCACACCTTGGGGCATAAAATTATTTTCATTGCTACTTCATAAGTGTAATTTTGCTACTGTTATGAATCAGGCTGTGAAAGGGTGCTTCCACTCCCAAAGGGGTCTTGGCTCACAGGTTGAGAACTGCTGCTGTAAATAGAAAGCTTGATTTAAAAGTCTGACCTGGTGAAACAAGCTCCCTCACATAAAAAAATACAACAAATGAGCATTGTCTTAATCTTTAATTTCACTTGACGAGCTTTTTTTGGGTGAAGTGAGGATGGTGCCTTCCACTGGTTTGAATGATGTTTGTTTTCAGGGTTGTCAGAATAGCACCATGTCTCGTCACCAGGAGTGATGGGAAAAAAGTCTGGGGCTCTTCAGAGCTGTTCTTTCAAAGCACGGTATGTTTCCACTGGACGTTCTTTTTCCTGGTCAGTGGGAACCCAAGGCACAAATTTCGCAAATCTTCTGCTAAAATTCACTTAACCAAACTCCAAGATAGTCCAGATAACTTCCCCATCTCTTCAATGATCTGTCATCAGTCTTTGAGCACAAGTGCACAAATTTTGTCAACATTTTCTTCCATTGGGAAATTGACATGTTCAGAACAAGATTTGTCATCCATCGACATTTCACCTTTTTTGAAATGAGAAAACTACTCGTATACGTCAGTTTTCCCCATAGTGCTGGCCTTGTAAGCTGTGTTCAACACCCCAA